GAGTGGGCGAGGGGGACCCCTGCGTGTCCCCGGCCAGGGGCGGGAGTGGGCGAGGGGGACCCCTGCGTGTCCCCGGCCAGGGGCGGGAGTGGGCGAGGGGGACCCCTGTGGGTCCCCGGCCAGAGGCGGGAGTGGGCGAGGGGGACCCCTGCGTGTCCCCGGCCAGGGGCGGGAGTGGGCGAGGGGGACCCCTGCGGGTCCTCAGCTGGAGGTGGGGATGGCATGTGTTTCCAGCCAGGGGCACGGGGGTGGAGGGTCCTGTAGCTGCTGTGCCCTGTAACCTGTGCGCCATTCTTTGTGGTAGACCCGGATCCTGGTAACACACAGTGTCAGTTTCCTGCCAAGGACGGATGAGATTGTGGTGCTGGTGGCCGGTGCTGTGTCTGAGCAGGGCTCCTACAGCACCTTGCTGGCTAACGGGGGGGCCTTCGCTCAGCTCCTGAGCACGTATGGGAACCAGGAGGGCAACACCCCCGAGGGGGAGGCCACAGGTATGAGGGCATGTGCTGGGCCCAGGGTTAGCTTCATACAGGTGCCCTTCATACAGTGCCGATGGAGTCCTGTTTTGTGCTACGTATACCCAGAATGCCCCAGTGTTGGGGGGAGGGAAGGAGACAGCCCTAACTCACCCACCTGGGGTTCGCCTCTGTTAATGAGGGTGACACTAATACAAGGAAAGCCTTGGCCTATGCTGTCTCCGGAGCTTGGGTCTGTCTCTGCAGGGCCCTTCTGTTTCTGCCCCTTTCCCTCTGCCTTGGGGTGGGCCACTCCAACCCTGCCTCCTCCTGAACTGGAGCGAGTGTGACTCAGCTGGTCTTGCCTCAGTATGAGTCAGCAGAAAGAGCTATGTGGCTATGCAGTAGCTCTAACCCCTGCTGGGAACCTTCCCACCCACAAGGGTTCCCAGAGCGTGGTCTCTTCTCCTTCCCTGTTGAGCTTGGCTGGAGCTTGGGCTCCAAAGTCCAACGCTGCGGCCGGGAGACGTGCTCAGCTTGCTGCTTGTGCGTTCCCCTTCCTGTGGCTGGGAGCGAGCCCAGCGACCCACCTGAGCACACTGTGCAGTTCTGCAAAGCCAGAAAAGGCCCTGGGTCTCCCCAAGACAGGCCCCGACAAGGAGTGGGACAGTTCCACCTAGAGAATGCTGCACCCTTACTCCTAGGGGCGTAGGGATTCCCACTCCAGCTCAGAGCAGGGGTCTGCACCCAGTACCCCATCTCCAACAGGGGCCACCAGCACCAGCTGCTTCAGGGAGAGAGCTAGGAACCTGTCAGATGGCAGCGAGAGTGATCAGCAGACAGTGGTCCCGCCTCAGGGCTGGGGTTTGCGTCACTGGAGATGGGGATTCCCCGCGCCCTGTATATTCCACTCCACATTTTTTGGTCTGAGTCTGTTCTAGTCCGACACATTGTTCGATAGAGTCTTTTGAGCCCCCAGGACTTACATCTCCCCACTCCAGAGGTTACATACATCCCAGCCCACAATAACACACAAACCATTCATTGAATACAATGGACCCCCAGGACACTTGAGCATCATTTAATAAGGGCTCCTGAAGATATTGCAGGAAATTGGCATCTCGGTCACAACAGCGTAGCTCTTGGCTGCTGTGCAGAAGGACGCAGCACAGGCGTGGCTCGACGGCAGGGGCTCTCAAACTGGGGGTCGTAAGGTTATTACACAGGGGTTGCGAGCTGTCAGCCTCCATCACCAAACCCCGCTTTGCTTCCAGCCGTTATAATAGTGTTAAATATAAAGAAAATGTGTTTTTAATTTATAAGGGGGGGTCACATTCAGAGGCTTGCTGTGTGAAAGGGGTCACCAATGCAGAAGCCTGAGAACCACTGCTCTGCTCTCTGTTCAATGCCTAACACCACTTCCAGTCCGAGCGCCTCCTAACTCCTGTGTCTGCTGCTTCAGTTGGAGCTGCAGAGGAGCAAGACGGTGGGGTCCCTGAGACTAGCACGGAGGACGTGCCAGCCGACATAGTGACCATGACCCTGAAAAGAGAAGCCAGCATTCAGCAGAGAGGATTCAGCCGCAGGTAGGAACCTGTCCCCAGTCATCAGATCTCATCCCGAACCTCTCCCTTTCCTTCCCTCTCCCTGCTTCCTACATAGGCATCTCCCCATGCCCTGGACCTCTTCTTTGCTTCCTGAGATGGAGGGGCCCTGTGTGAGGCTTCACTTCTTGGCAAACCTGTGGGAAAGCGTCTGAGAGCCCTGGTCTCTGGGGCCTCCCTGGCCTGCATGGCATGTGGGGCCCTCTGCTTTGCTCAGCTGCTGATCAGGAGAGGCCTGTCTGTCATGGTTCTGCTCTGCAGCCCAGGCTGGGCGAGTTCCTGCCTGCAGGGTTTCTCCAGCTGTCTTCCCACACACTCCTCTGTTGAAGCTGACCCCCAACCCCACCCCTTTCTGCTCCTCCACAATGCACTGGGCAGGATCGCACAGTTGAGTAGCTTCCCCTCTAGTATGACTGGTGACTCGTACTTATCCAGCGGTTTCTGCATGCCACACATCCAGACCTCGGGCTTCTCCCCGCGGCTGTCAGCCCCTGTCAGGGGCTCTCTGGCTGGGTGAAGGTGTGTCCGGAGCAGGGGCTGGGCTGGTTTAGCTGAGAGGGTGGGAACCATGCTGGACTCGGAGGAATTTCCGAAGCGTCCAGTTGAAATGTTTCTCTCGCCAAAGTCAGTGAGTCCCATGGCCGGTCCCTGGCAGATCCCGGCGCAGCCAGCATGTTCGAGAGGGAGGCGCAATGCAGGGCGAGGCGAATGGGGTTCCAGGGTGGCTCCAAGTGCAGCCGCCCCATTGCTAACAATGAGCAATCGCCCTATTGCAGCCTCAGCACCAGCAGCACCAAATCCCTGCGAAAGGCCCTGCAAGCGGGTGAGGTGGGGCCCAAGGGCAAGCAGCCTGCCGAGGAGGTGACAGGACAGAGGCTGATTGAGAAGGAGGCCATGGAAACGGGGAAGGTGAGAGAAGGGATCCCGTGGCTTGGGGGCGGGGGCACCGTGAAATCCCACCCCACAGCTCGCTGCTTTACAACCACAATAGTTGCTTGAGAAAACTGACCCTCAGCTTTGCTGACCCCCATTGCACCGCTCCCGGCCTATGCATGAAGAGAGAGGCGTGGAGGGATGCTGCTGGGGTGTGTTTGGAGCGTGGGCTGCCGGCTATGGGAAGGCAGGGTGGGCGGGTAGTGCTGGGGAGGGCAGGGTTGGGGTGGTGCTGTGTGGGGAGGGTGTGGGGGGCTGGGCGGTGCTGTGGGGGGGCTGGGCGGTGCTGTGGGGAACCTGGGCGGTGCTGTGGGGGGCGTGAGTGCTGCTGTTTGGGGAGGGCATGGGGGGGGTTGAGTGCTGCTATGTGGGGAGGGAATGGGGGGCTGGGCAGTGCTGTGGGGGGGCTGGACGGTGCTGTGTGGGGAGGGCATAGGGGGCTGGGCAGTGCTGTGGGGGGGCTGGACTGCTGTGTGGGGAGGGCATAGGGGGCTGGGCAGTGCTGTGGTGGGGAGGGCATAGGGGGCTGGGCGGTGCTGTGGGGGGCTGGGCGTGCTGTGGGGGGTTGAGTGCTGCTGTGTGGGGAGGGCAGAGATGTGGCCTGCAGGCGTAGCTGCGTCAGGGGTGCGTGCGGCGGCTGGACTTCGTGGGACGCCGCGACAGGCTGTGCTGCTCTGCAGGTGAAGTTCTCCCTGTACCTGCGGTACCTGCGCGCCGTGGGCTGGGGATTCTCCGCCTCAGTTTTCATCACCTACGTTGCACAATATGCTGCCTTCGTGGGGTCCAACCTGTGGCTCAGTGACTGGACCGACGACTCGCTGCGGTACTGGAATCAGACCTACCCAACCTCTCAGCGGGACATGCGGATCGGGGTCTTCGGGGCGCTGGGCACGGCGCAGGGTAAGTCTGGGGACCCACCCAATTTACATGGGATGTTGTGAGCTGGGGGCACTTGGCTGGAGAGCCCAGGGAAGGGTTGCTGAGGCCCCAGGCCTCTGCTTGAGCTGGCAGTTTGCCAGGGCCCAAGATTTCCCTGGGAGCTGGGAGCAGACAGCTGGGGTCTGAGGCCCCCCTGGAAGCTGGAGAATTGCAGCCCAGCACCCGATGTCTCCGTGTGTGCCGGGGGGTGTCGGTCCCAGGAGCCTGACCCTGACTGGCACATGCATGCGTTCTAGCTGCCTTCCTGCTGGCCGGAGCCCTCCTGGCTACCCGAGGTACCATCCGGGCCTCCCGCATGCTGCACCAGCAGCTGCTCAGCAATATCTTGCGAGTGCCCATGAGCTTCTTCGACACGACCCCCACAGGTCGCATCGTCAACAGATTTGCCAAGGTGAGAGCTTGGGCCCGGGGGACCCTGTGCCCAGTTGCCCTGGCGGGACCAGGGCCGGGGGTGGCGGCAGAGGGAGGGATGTTCCAGGCACATTTGGTCAGGTCTCAGCAGGGCTTTGTGATGTGAACAAGGTGGGTCCAAACTAGGAACCTGACTGGCCTTCAATCATGCAGAGCTAGAGAAGAAGTGGAGTCTAATGGTTAGAGCTGGGGGGACTGAGAGCCAGGACTCCTGGGTTCTATTCTCAGATCTGGGAGGATGTGGGGTCTAATGGTTAGAATATGGGGAGCTGGAAATCAAGACCCCTGCGTTCATTTTCCCAGCTGTGCCATTGATTCACGACATGCCCCATGAGGCAAGTCCCTTCCCCTCTCTCTGCGTCAGTCTCCCTGTCTGGACAGTAGGATCAGGCTGAACCCCAGGGCTGGAAGGCCGTGGTATCAGAGCTTCCCTTAGCATGTGCAGGGCTCTCTGGCCTCCTCCTGTCTTGCAGGGCCTGGCCTCACTGCCTGGATCTCCCCTCTTCTCCATCTGTTCCCAGGACATCTTTACCGTGGATGAGACCATCCCCATGTCCTTCCGTAGCTGGCTGACCTGCTTTCTGGGCATCATCAGCACCCTGCTTATGATCTGCCTGGCCACCCCCTACTTCGCTCTCATCATCATTCCCTTGGGCATCTTCTATTTCTTCCTGCTGGTGAGTGGTTCTGGCACTTTCGCCTCGGCACAATGGGCGGGGCAGGGCTCAGCCTCTCTCCTTCCTTGGGCATTCCCAGAGCTGTGACAGCTGGGGCCGGCTGCCCAGCGTGTGTCACTGCAGACACACCCTGCAGAACTGAGCTCTCTGCTACCTGCCACGGGTGGGAAGGTCCTGGGTGCACATTGCAGTAATAGAGCCGCTTCTCTGGTCCCAGCGCTTCTATGTCTCCACGTCCCGCCAGCTGAGACGTCTGGATTCCGTCACCAGGTCTCCCATCTATTCCCACTTCGGTGAGACAGTGTCAGGCCTGTCTGTAATCAGGGCCTATGGACACCAGGAGCGGTTTCTGCAGCACAACGACCGGATCATGGACATGAACCAGAAAAGTGTTTACTCCTGGATTGTCTCGAATAGGTGAGATTACTCCGCCCCCAAAGGGACAGGCCTACAGGACCTGCACTCATCATGTGAACGGAGGATTATGACGGACGGTCACTGTGCTGTTGGGTGCTGGGAGCGGATGGGGGTGGCGCTGGGCACCTGCTGGGTGTTTGGCCAGGAACGGAGGATTATGACGGACGGTCACTGCGCTGTTGGGTGCTGGGAGCGGATGGGGGTGGCGCTGGGCACCTGCTGGGTGTTTGGCCAGGAACGGAGGATTATGACGGACAGTCAGTGCACTGTTGGGTGCTGGGAGCGGATGGGGTGGCGCTGGGCACCTGCTGGGTGTTTGTCCAGGAACGGAGGATTGTGACGGACGGTCACTGTGCTGTTGGGTGCTGGGAGCGGATGGGGGTGGCGCTGGGCACCTGCTGGGTGTTTGGCCAGGAACGGAGGATTATGATGGATGGTCATTGTGCTGTTGGGTGCTGGGAGCGGATGGGGGTGGCGCTGGGCACCTGCTGGGTGTTTGGCCAGGAACGGAGGATTATGACGGACAGTCAGTGCACTGTTGGGTGCTGGGAGCGGATGGGGTGGCGCTGGGCACCTGCTGGGTGTTTGGCCAGGAACGGAGGATTATGACGGACGGTCACTGTGCTGTTGGGTGCTGGGAGCGGATGGGGGTGGCGCTGGGCACCTGCTGGGTGTTTTGGGTGGCCAGGAATGGTGCTGATGGTGCTCACTGTAAGTGCCCCACCATGCGTGCGTAGATGCAGGCAGGCTCCTCTCTCCCACGCCTCACCGCCAACGCTCTCCCCGATGCAGGTGGCTGGCCGTCCGCCTGGAGTTTGTCGGGAATCTGGTGGTTTTCTTTGCGGCTCTCCTAGCCGTGATTACGAGGGACTCTCTGGGGAGTGGCATCGTCGGGCTCTCCATCTCCTCTGCACTCAACGTGAGTCCAGGCCTCTGCTCTGTGGAGTCCTGCTGACATCCAGGGGCCTGGGCTGCTGCAGGCGGCAGAACCTTGGTGGCTGGTTCCTGCCTTCAGCCGGAAAGTGCTGCTGCACTTCAAAGGGGCCCCCCTCCTGGGGGCTGCCAGCTGGGAGGGGGACACTGCTGCGGGGTGCTGGGATGGATGGAGCCAAGAAAGAGATGTTCCCATAGCGATGGGGGGAGGCACGTGCTGGTCCAGGAGAGGGGCATGCCCTCTGTGGGTCCTGGGCCAGGATGGGGCTGGGAAGGGGACTGTCCCGTTGGGAGGTGGGGACAGGGCAGGGGCATTGCTGCTGGATGCCATGGGGTGGAGCGAGGGTGGTGTGTTACAGCAGGATGGGCTCAGGATACGGAAGCTCCTGCTAGGGGCACTGGGCCCCAGGAAGGGCCGAGGGGGGAGGGTTTGGGGGTTCCAGGATCAGGACCCGCTGGTCTCTGCTGTGCAGATAACCCAGACACTGAACTGGCTGGTGCGGATGACGTCGGAGCTGGAAACCAACATCGTGGCGGTGGAGCGAGTGCACGAGTACACAGAGGTGGAGAATGAGGTGAGACCAGGTGATGGGAAGGTGACGGAGATAGAGCGGGAAGTGGTGCAGGGAGCAGTGAGAACTGGGCGCCTCTCCCTATCTCACTTCATTTGCATATTGCTACCCAGAGTGCTTTGCACCACAGTTCCCCAGTTATCAGACATCCTTTTAACACTCCTCCCCACATCCCCAGGCTCAGTGGGTGACGGAACAGCGACCACCCCCCGGCTGGCCTAGCAAAGGCGAGATCCAGATTACTGACTACCAGGTCCGGTACCGACCTGGGCTGGAGCTGGTTCTTCATGGGCTCACCTGTGATATTCGGAGCACTGAAAAGGTGAGGAGCCTCCCCGACAGACCCTCTGATTCTTTGCTGTCAGCTGATGATGAGAGGTGGGAGGAGTGAGGGGGTGTGGGGACCCTCAGGAGTTTGATTCCAGGATTGAAACCCTCATTGGTTCAGATCAGAGCCAGAAGACATCAGTTTATTTTGGAGAGAGTCCTAGAGTTTGAGGCCAGAAGGAACCACCAGATCATCTCGTCTGACCTTCTGTGTATCACGGGCCAGCAGCCCCACTCAGCACCCGCCCATGAAGCCCAACAACCAAAATTAGACCAAACTATAACAGCTCTCAGGAGACTAGATTATGTGCCGCAGCAGAGGAGAGGAGACACTTAGTGGCACCAGTGCCCAAGGCTCCTGCAGTGGCAGGGAATTTACTGAGCTGTACCAAGATCATCCTGGCAAGTGACCCACATGCTGCAGAGGAAGGTGAAAAACACCTAAGGTCACTGCCCATCTGACCGGGGGAAATTCCTTCCCAACCCCACATATGGTGACCAGTTAGACCCTTAGCATGGGAACTAGAACCAGCCAGCCCAGCACCTGAAAGAAAGAATGCTTGGTGCCACCTCAGGACCCTGTCCCCGCACATCCAGTGTCTCATCTCCAGCTGTTGCCATCCCTGATGGTTCAGAGCAAGGAGACACCCCCTCCCCCAGAACAAAACCCACAGAATACATTGAGGGAAAGGAAAAATTCCTTCCTGACCCTTCCAGGTGACTGAATGAAGCCCTGAAGCATGAGCTTTAGAAACACGAGACATAAACTGAAAGGGACCGCCAGGGCTTCCAAGCCCTGCTCCCCACCCTAAGAACATAAGAATGGCCGTACTGGTTCAGACCAATGGCCCATCTAGCCCAGCATCCTGTCTTCTGTCAGTGGCCGGTGCCACGTGCTTCAGAGGGATGACCAATCCTAGTCTTTTAAATCTCTCCTCATATGGCAACTTTTCCATACCCCTGATCATTTTTGTTACCATTTTCTGAACCTTTTCCAATTCCACTATATCTTTTTTGAGATGGGGCGACCACATCTGCACGCAGTATTCAAGATGTGGGCGTATCCTGGGTTTATATAGAGGCAATATGATATTTTCTGTCTGACTAGCCATCCCTTTCCTAACTGGGATCGATAATCAGGTTTTTGACTGCGGCTGCACATTGAGTGAGTAGACAAGCAAGGGGGACCCCCAGGCCGTCTCAGATCCAGTTCTCACTGGGTGCTGTCTCCACAGGTCGGGGTTGTGGGCAGGACAGGGGCTGGGAAATCCTCTCTCACCAACTGCCTCTTCCGGATCCTGGAGGCTGCAGGAGGGAAGATCGTGATCGATGGGGTGGACATATCGACCATCGGCCTCCACGACCTACGCCAGAGCCTCACCATCATCCCCCAGGTGAGCGCTGCATGGGCAGAGCCGGGTGCCCGGTCTCTGGCAGCAAGTGGCGAGGGATTTCGCCATAGGGCACACGTGTGTGGGCTGGGCACTGTGCCCCTCCATAGCCAGTTCCATGCCATGGGTGTCGCTTTCATTAACTTAGCCCAACCTGCCACCCTGTGGCAGCCAAAGCCTAATGGGGCACTATGAGCAGGAGGGGCCCAAGCCAGAGCCCCCAGCCCCTCGGTGTGGAAAGAGGGGAGCTGACAGCAGCTGCAGCAGGAGACACAGCAAGACGGGGCCCAGCCCGGCCTGGGCACCACCTGAGCTCTGGAAGCAAAAGCTCAGATGCGCCCCCCTCCCCCGTCCCCGGGCACTGTGGGAAATGGTACCCGATGTGGTTCAGCCCAGGCCCAGGATCAGCCTAGACTCAGCCAGTAACCTTCACCCAGCCTGCGGAGACCCACTAGCTGGCTCCTTTGCTGCTCCGCCAGGCGGCTGACCTGCCCTCAGCCTGTGGCTGTCGGAGCTGCAGCATGGCTAAGCTCTTGGTGAAGCAGCCGTGGTAGGAGACTAACCTGCCCTGCCAGCCAGTGCGTTGCCCAGCTGTGGGCACCGTGGGCAGCCAGTTTGTGTGGCTGGACAAACAGCTCAGAGCTGGCTCTAGCCAAACAGGGCAGCCTCAGATGCAGCGGGTGTCCCCCTTGTGTCTAACTGTAACGGGCTTACAAGCACCTCATGGCTCTGGGGCTGGCAGGGCCCTGGATCCAGCACTGTCAGAGACCCCCGTGCTGTCCTTGCAGGACCCGGTGCTGTTCTCCGGGACTTTACGGATGAATCTGGACCCGTTTGACCAGTACGCGGATGAGGAGATCTGGAAAGCCCTGGAGCTGGCCCATCTGAAGACATACGTGCTGGATCTACCTGAAAGACTGTCCCACCAAGTGAGCGAAGCAGGGGAGAACTTGAGGTAGGTGGGCTAACTTGGGTGTCCTCACCGCCTGCCCAGCTCCAGAGACATCCCTCCTCCCTCCCAGGGAGAGTAGAGCACAGCCTGAGTGTGCCCTCCGCTTTCCAAGCGCCCAGCCCAGCCAGCAGGACTAATCCCTATAGGAATGCATGGCCCTCTGTGAGGCCATAGGAACAAGGGTGGGAGACAGGCCAGGCTGGGGGAAGAGTGGGGGGGGGGGCAGCAAGGCCAGGGGAAAGGGGGAGCAAGGCACGAGGGGGAAGGGTGGGGGGGGCGGTAAGGGCCGAGGGGGGAAGAGGGGGGGGGGGGCGGCGAAGGGCCGAGGGGGAACTGGGGGAGCGAAGGGCGAAAGGGGGGAGGGGGGCCGTAAGGGCCGAGGGGG